AGTCGGAGTTAAAAATCGACACTTCTTCGAAATAGCGGGCGTGAGTCAACTATAGGCCCCTACTGGATCCGGCATTGATGTTTTAGAAAATAGCGTTCCTGCTGATATAAAGTCCAAGCGGTGCTTTCAAACAAAAGAGATTGCAGAATTTTTTTCCCTCTCTAACTAAGAATCGGACGCAACAGACGCAACAACAAAAAATCAGGATACAGGCGACCAAAATCGGGAAAATCGGGATGCTCGAGATTTGGGGCAAAAAATCGGGATATCCTGATTACATTGGGATGAGTGGCAGGTCTGCGAATATCAACTTCATTTCCGCCCATGGCGCACCGGCAGTCGGCAGTGGTATTTAAGTGGTAGCAGGGGTTCCCCGCCGAGCGCCTTATACTTATCACGTCGGGGCCACAGGGGTCAGCTCTCTGTCGCCGCTGTGTCTGGGCTGACTTCATTTTCGGTACTCTTCAACGTTCACTTTTAGGTGTATCCTTGTATTTATGGTTATTATCAGTTAATGCACCCAAAGCACGCATTTTTGCTCTTGAGACCCCAAAAAACAACGGACATTGTAACTTGTCTGGTTATTTTGTTAGATGCGCTGAAGTCGGCAATGCTAAATTGTAACATTTTTTGTACGTGTGAATGAAAAAAAAATCAATATAAAATAAAAAGCACGACAAAAACAGATGAACTTTAGGAACGAGAACGACATAGCATAGGTGCAGATACTCAGAAAAGATGGTATCTGCGCATATAATAGAAAGCTGTAATTTCGCAACTTTATCCATCTGGCACACAATTCGCATTGAAATAACTCCTCGAAACACAACTTTATGTGTCTAATATAATCTGGAATATTCGCATATTTTCAATAAAGTTTATCAAAATTACCCCTAAGTCTGTCTATGAAAAAGTACAAATCAATTTTAGAGCCAGAATACATCTTCAACAATCACAATGTAATACACGAACATTGGGCTATCAGTTACACTATATATAAATTATTCCTTATTTTTCTTAAAACGCTAGATCTCGGTTTTGTAAGTTGACTGAATAACAGGGACGACTTCTCGTGATTGTATAATAAGAATGTTTGTTTTTGTAAAGTGTTTTACGACGCTCGCAACTGCATAAGGTCATATGAGTGTGCGGGACACACCTAATATTTTCAGTTGGTAGGAAATTTTGAATTTTGCCCGGGTGGCGGCCGAAGCCTACTCTTATCGATTTTAGACCACCAAGGGATCTTTAACGTGCGCAACTTGCACACGGGCCCTCCGAGATTTTTCGCCCTTGTCCGAGAAGGCTAGGTGTAGATCTTTCCTACCAGAAGATCAGGGGTGTGGCTGAAAGACAGCTGTAAGAAGAAGCGAAGAAGTAGCAGTAGAAAGGCTGCAGAAAGAATCAGGAGCCCAGAGGAAAGGGCAAAGGAGGTGAGGAGGTGGGGGCAGAAAGAGGAGATGAAAGCAGATGACAGAACATTGCTGAGAGCAGGAAATGAGGTGAAAGGAGACAAATTTAGAGAAGAAAATTTTTTGGTCGCTACGCAGATTCGAACCCGGGACCTTTGAATGAGAGGCCAACACCTTAACCTCTAGGCCACAAGAGCCCCCCATGATGAGAACAATTTCTAGCTTTCCAGTGACACTGAATCAGCACCAGGCTTTTCCAGCTTTTATTTTCGTTTCTATATATATAACCATTTGCACTAACTGACAATGTTCTGATTTCTTTACATTCATAAGTGTTCGCGCATATGTCCGACACAAAAACTAAGAATGAATGAGTTAGCTGTAATCATTTTTATTCCATAGAAGAAGTTCATCTCTACCCATGTATTAACACATTTTTGTGTTTTTGAAAAATGTCATAATATATATCTTTCTTAGTTGTATGCAGGCTGCCACAGACACAGCATGATATATGAACAAACGCTGAGTAACTTTCTCTTGTTTAATGGTAGAACAAGCGCTAACGCTGAGTGTCTTTAGTTTAAAAAATGCAGATGGGCATCTTTCTTCTCTTATAACTTGACTATTATTACTCGTGCAGATTTAAGATTTCTCATGGTAACAGACATGATATTCTTAGGGTAGAACCATATAAGCACCCGACACCGACAGTCAGACCAGACCCGCTGTTTGCCGTTGGGTGCGGCCGACCATATTAACACCAGAGTTTGGCGGTCAGACACCGTCGTCTTGCAATTATGGCGTGGGGTAGAAGAAGAGAATTGTTGTTGTTGTTGCTTTTGAGACGCAGACAAAAAAAGGAAAACCAAGACAAGAAGATTTTCTGTTCATCCTATCCAAAGAAAACGTGATACACTATGTGAATTTCATCATTTGTTTCCGCAGTTGTTGGAAGATAGTGAACAATTCCAACAATGCTTTCGCATGAAACATAGCAGTTTCAATGAACTGCGAGAGATATGCAGAGCTGACCAAGAACTGCTAGAATTCTGTGTACTGTCAGTGAGGCGGGATAGGGGACACAACTATGCAGAGATAAATCATTAAAATAACCTCCCATCTCGCCCCATGGACCGTCTTTGATAGAACATGTTTTATCGGAGATGGTCTGACCGGGGACGACACAGGACGTCGGGCGTCAGTACGGTAGCCAAACCATTTTTTGTTACCTTCCATTACTAAAGAACAGGTGCGCATTTTTTTGTGCCCGAAGACGATCTGGTCTGACCGTCCGTGTCGGGCGTTAATATGGTTGCGACCTTAGTCAGTTTAACACAGATTTTGGAGAGATCTGTCATGCATTTTTAAAATAAACAATAATTTATCCATTAAATGTCACTAAAATAGGACAAATTGGGTACTCTACAAACACGTATCTAGACAAAAACCAAAGAACAGAAATTAACCATTCTAACGCAGAATAAATCTCAAAACATTGAGCTTTTAGAACATATGCATAAAATGGTTAGCTTAGTGGAATGGGGAAGAAGTTATATCGTTTCAAAAGTAAACAAAAATGCGAACTTCTTAACCGACACTGGCAAAATCGCTTCAGGGCTCATTAACCCCGTGACCCCCAGCTGGAAAGCTCCGGCGGGCTGCTGAGTCACGCTAACTAAGGGTAACAGAATCGGGCGAAAAGCAACGCCATGTGTTGCAAATAAATAGTTTTCGAAATATTTGATTTTTTAAAATCGAGCTATATAACACTAGATCTAGAATGGGGGGTTCTAGGGAGGCCAGCCGCCACGGGCTAAAAAACAATCAGGGGGTATTAACCCATAATTTGATATAGTTTGGTTTGAAATTTTCTGGAAAATAATTGTTTAGCAACAGTTTTGGTGGCTTTATGTGTGATCTGCAGCAAACAATACTGTAGTTCGACCCCTGAAGCAGTGCATCTGTGAGCATGAGTGAAAGTACAAATTTACCTCTAAGTTACTGCTCATTTTGTACTGAAAAATAGCAGCGCATCTCTAGCTCTCTTTCCGATAAAACATCGATACCGACTATTTCTGAATTTCAGTCAGTATTGATATAATATAGGCTACTCTGGGGGCCAAAACCGGAGGGTGCTTCTATCGGCAGGCCTAGTTCCCACCCCCCAATTATTATTCGAAGTGACTATTTCTCCGAACGTTCGGGAAAATAAAGTTGAACTTTATTTCTCCGAACAGTTTCCCATCTCGAAATGTTTCGGTTATTTGCGAGATTTAGGCGACATCCTTTCATTCTGCCATTCTGCGAGGACTGGGAAGAAGAATTTTTTGCAGCGAATTCAATTTCTAGAGCTAGATCTAGAGATTTTTAAATGTCTGAATATTCAGATACTTCAAGTTGTGGTTGGGGCAACGTTCCCGGACTACACTTCATTTGAAAATACCTTCAAAAGATACTGCGAGAAAACAGGACTTCTTGACCTTGGCAGTAACCTATAATTTTGCATTTAGTCACCCAGCAAAAACTAAAATCCTTCATGTAAAAAAAAAAAATCCCTCCACGCCCCCCCCCCCCCTTCACACACACACTGACACACACACACTCATACAAACACACACACTCTATCTCTCACACACACTACACACACACGGGTCACTCAATTCGCTTATTATCAACAAATCTCGAGAACGGAAACCGCTCGGAAAAATAGGGTTCACGTTAATTTTCCCGAACCTTCGGAGAAATAGAGTCGGATATTATTATTCGCCATTTTTGGCCCCAAGAGTAGGGAGGGGGATTCAGGCGGGCACCATAATTTGATGCAGTGCAATTGTAAGGTTTGATATCTCTCGCTCTTCGCGCAACAAACATATCTAGACCTACAACCAAATAAGGGGGGTGGGAACTATTGAGAGAGCGCCAACCAGAGAATGCCACACTATTAATACACATACAGTGGACAGCAATCTATAAAATAGATCTAGATTCTAGTTTTTTAAAATCAAAATCAAGTATGTCAGTCTATCTGCTGGTGGGGTGCAGGCCTGGAATCTAGTCTAGACTAGATCTAGAATGTCGCAATCACCGGTGATTTTTCGGTAGTTCCCACCCCCCTTATTTGAGCCTGACCTACATCTATATGTTTGATTCGCAGCGAGCTAACATATCAAACCTAACAACCACAAAACATTAAATTGTGGTAAAATTCTGGGGGGCATGTCCCCCTGAAACCCCCCCCCCCCCCACCTTATACTACTAATACTAGGTCAGGGGGACCCCCCCCCCTACTCTTGGAGCCTAAACCTGTGAATAACAATTGGGGGATGGGAACTACCGAAAAAGCGCCCAATCACCCTGCTAGTCAGTAGATCTAATCTAATTTAGAATCTAGATATAGAATCTAGATATCTCTAGATCTAGATCAAGTGACAAGTAGAGTCTGAGCTAGCCTCTTAAATTTTAATTATAGATCTATCTTAATTGTGTTGCTGGGGGCATAATCTAGACTCTAGATCTAAATCTAGATCTAGAATCTAGATCTAGATCTAGATCTATATTCAAATTAAAAGAAAGGGGAAAATAACTTACAGATGAAAACTCCTGTCCGCTGCAGCCTTATATCGGTTCCTACACTTATACACAACACAGGTGCAAGGCATTTTGAAAAGTTTGATTAGAATTGAATAGATAGTCTTATACTAGCCTAGGCTACAATAGGACCGTTGAATACTAGCCTAGCTCTAGGCTAGAGGGCTTCTACTTCTACCAAGCTCCAGGACTCTAACATATAAAATCATAAATCTCAAGACTGGTTTTCCAATTTCGAGGTCTTCGCACTTCGCTCTTCCCATCATCAAGAGATCTAGAGATCTAGATCTAGATTTTGTTTTGTTATAGAGGGGGAAAAAAACCGTGTTCATGTTTTATATTTTATCTGGAGAAAATCCGTTCTGATTGGTGTGAACCAAAGGAGATATAGGCCTATAATCCCCAAGGAGATTAAAATCCCACGTTAAAGTAGCCTAACTGAAAAGTAAAATATTGTTTATAAATTTCATGGATAGGCCTAGAACAAAGGAAAAGAAATCAAATTATGGTAATACTGACCGTACTGAAATAAGCCAGCATGGAATGCTTATTCTTAAAAGCGATTAGGCAAGGAAGAGACAAATTAATGCAGTTCTTTTCTAAGACACTTGAACAATGTCAGTGTACCAAAATGATGGATTTTTTCCAAGAGCATGCAGGCTGAGAAATTATATATCTGTTTCAGACCTGGCACTTCAGCTCAGTAGGATGATGATGATGATTTTTTATCAAAATTTTAGATCTACCTCTGCCTCTTTTGCCTTCTTTTATTTCGGTACGCACGTTAAACGAAAAAACCCCACACTGTTACGTATGAGGATCCAGAGATGCAAGTTGAAAAGTACAGTGAATGTAAAACAAGAACGGGAATTTATTTGTATGACTAGGAAGGAATCGGGATGTGGTTACAAATTTACTGATGGTGATGATAGGTGCATGGAATATCCTGTTCTTGCCTTTGAGGGGGAAATGAAGTTGCTGTTTCTAAGAAAATACTTCGAGACGCTCTTATTATTTCTGATTTTAACGTGCTAAATTTATCCAGTTGTGCATAATGTCGACCAAAGAATTCGCCTGTGTTTTAATTGGGAATGAGGAAAACAAGTTTTTCCTTCGAGACGTTAACGACCGAGGCTTGTGGCTACCATTCGAAGAGAGGACTGATCATCTCAGTTTGAAAGGAGTGGCATCGAAACTAATTGAACAGGTAAGTCTAGTAGGTAAATTTTTACTTTCACTCCCGCACACAGATGCACTGTCTCAGGGGTCAAACTGCTGTACTGT